TTTGTACCTCCCAGCCCCATCTAGCCCGGGGCTGCTACCATTGAATCAGCTTCATAAATGCCTGTTAAATTTGTAATAAAGTATCACTGTCTGGACCTGCTGACATCAATCACAGTCGCACCAAAATCCTATCATGACTGTCACATTTATATCTGGGAAGAACCTGTCTTTCAAGGCTGGGGATCTATCATCGGGGTGGAAATTGTAAACATTAAAAGGAATGATTTCAATATTCCATGAAAGCTATTCTTTATATTCCTACCTTTTCTTCATTTTTGATCTATTCTTGACTTTAGTAATATCCCTAGAAAGAGTCCCAGAAGAGGAGTACAACAAAGCCACTTTCATCTTTATTCACATGACACATTTCCAACCACGGAAAACATTTTGACCCCCTTTTAAAAAATAACAGTTTTGCTAATGTTAGTCAAATGCTTCAACGTGTGCAATGAAATTTAGGGAAGTTGTAGCTACATAAAAATACTGACATAGTCATATGGCTTGAGTATAAAATAAAGGAAAATATTTTTGTTGCCTGACAGACTATTCATGGCATTGGCTTAAAAACTGAAACGCTAGGAAAGCTATTACTGAATTTTTCTGTGTGGTATAAATAGCCTATTTTGGATGTGGAGCAATTAGAATTCTGGGACCTTGAGCAAATTGCTAGAGCTTTTCATGCCTTAGTTTTCTCATCAGTAGAGTAGAAAAAAAGAATGTGCCCTTCACCTATACACAGTGGTTGTGATATGCAAAATGAAGTCATAGAAATGAAAATGATTTTCAAACATAAAACATTACATGAGTGTCAGTGACCAGTGCATCTCAGGGTCTGCTGCTCTGTGTCCCCACTCATGGTCTTTCCCTTTGTTCTATGCATCTTCTGAACAGCCAAGGCTGCCTGTTCCCTCCCATCTTTATCACTTTTGCTCTTTGTTCTCTAAGTCCTCCCTGCCCCCATTCTTTGTCTTTTTTCCTCTTTCTCCTTCCCCCCCCCCTCTCTCATGCTAGGAGACATTTTTGCTTTACCTGAAATCCGAACCCTAGTGATGCCAGAAGCATAATGGGTACAGGAGAGGAGGAAAAGGATGTGGCTAAAGCATCAAACATGTGGCACTCTCAGTATAAAAGTATCCCAGAAACAATGGGGAATTTTCCATGTGTGTATCTGTGGAGGGGAGAGAATATTGGGGGGAGTATTGTGATCAGCCCAGTGGAAAAGAAACCCAGTGGGAGAAAGGGGCACAGATATGGCAGAATTGTGCAAGATGCCCAACTGGGATTAGTTCACAAAATGAACTTGGCAAAAAGGAAGGAGAACAACAGTCACCTGCTATTCAGCGTGGGCTTCACCTCTCTCTAGCTTAAGGATATTGGCAAATTATTCCAGCCTCAGTGTTATCATCTATAAATTGGAGATAATGATATTTCATTTATAAGTTTATTGAGAATTAGGGTTAATTTAAATGAGATTCTAGCACATTATTTGACCTTTAAGGAGCTCTCAGTAAAAGATAACTGCAGTCAGTTCTCATTATTTGTGGTAGCTACATTCTATAAATTTGCCACAAACACTGAATTAGTGATTGCTAGGGGCTCCTAGGGGAGATGCAGAATTAGGTTCCTATGAGCTCTGGTCACATTTTTGTCAGCCAATCAGTATATAACCTTGTTTTATATGTTTCTATTTAAAGAATATATATATATATAT